CCTCCCCTAGCGGAGATTGGTAGGAATGCTTTGTTACTACTGTCCATGTGGCCTCTGCTCACAATGGGAGTGGGAGGCAAGTGAAGGTGCTGACTGTTCACTAGGTTGTCTCTGACACCACCTCAGCCAGAAGTGAAAGGAGTGCCTTGTTCCTGCCAAGTGCAGGTTGAAAGGCCACCTTCCTACCTGTCTCCATTGATATCGCCCTCATGGTTTCTGAGAGTCTGAGCTCACTACTCGAATTTCTTCTCTGATGCTGCCATGGTAAGGGATGAGGCTCTTCATTGCAGCCTGGTGAGGTGGAAGTCAAGGCTTTCCACTTGGCCTTTGTGGTGTGAGAGGATGTGGTGCTACTAGAGTAGAGCAATTCTTTTCTGGAAAATTTCTGCCTTGCTAGACTACCCTTTTCTCCTTGGCTATGTTGTCTTTTGTTTATTATTACCAGCATGCTGGCTTCTTTAGATCTAAGTCTAGAACATATAAAGCAGAATGAAAAATCAAAGGAACACTTTACTGTGTTATTATTTATGTCCCAATGTATGTAGATGTTCTGTCTTTCAATGTAACCTTATGTCTGTTTTATATCAATGTACAGTCCAGTGATCTTAATTGAAGTTAGTGGGAGGAATAGGGGAATATGTATGTACTCCCTTGTCCTGGTTGCAGAAATTCCCCTGTACAAGACTTATTTTATTGCTCATTTTGCTTTTATTTAGGCTAATTCAAAAGGCAGTGACTGGGATGGGTGCTGTGGCACAGTGAGTTAGAATGCCACTTGGGGCACCTGCATCCCATATAAGAGTGCTGCTATGATTTGATTTCCAGTTACTGCACTTTGGATTCAGGTTCCTGCTAATGCATACTGGGAAGCAGCAATTGATGACTCAGTTGGTTGGATTCCTCCCACTCAGGAAGGTGTAAGATCTAGATGTAGTTTTGGTATCCTGGGATTCTGGCTGTAGCCTGGACTGGCTCCAGCTGTTATGGGTATTGGGGGAGGGGAGTGTGTGAACCAGTGGGTAGAATATCCTCTCTCTCTCCTTTTCAAATAGATTAAAACAAATTAATAAACATAAAAATGATGACTAGCCACCTAACAGATATTTAACTGACCAGAAAATAGCTTACATAATGCAGATTAACCATGTTTTATAAAAATTAGTAATTGCCAAAATAAATCTTGGAATGAAGAATTTTGAGGAAGATGGTATATGTAAATAATTTTTCTTGAAAATTATAATTTATTTTTACTTGAGTTTTTAAATAATTGTTAATTATAACTATAAATTAAATGTAATTTATAATTTAAATATAAATTTTAAAATATAGCATTGTAAGTTTACAATACTGACCAGTAGGAGCCATAGACATTGTTTTTGGAACCACAAAGTCACAACTGTTCTTTGTAACAAATAGAGCCAATTATGCACCCCTCATCCAATTCCATTTCCCAGATGTAACCTCTGTTAGTGTCAGATGTACATCCTTCGGGTTTTTAGTCCATGTTTACATTGTCAGTCATGCTCTGCCACCTCACATCTCACTCCTGTTTTTCTCCTTAGCTTTTCTTTCTTGTGCATCCTGGTAAGTTCATCCTCCTCCACCCTGCTGCTAAGTGTTGAGGTGCTTTCAGGCTCAGTTCTGGAACTCTGTTCTTCTCCGTCAGTGCTGTTTTTCTCTGTGACTCATCTGTCCTTATCTCAATTACTGTTTGTACTCAGATGACTCATATATTTGTGTTTTTGTTTTTTCTAGTTCAGATTTCTGCTCTGAGTTTCAAACCAAAGTGCCAACTCTCTATTTGGCATTTCTTTATGGATAACTGCAAACTTAATGTGCCAAACCCAGTCTGGTGATCTTCCATTCCCCTTCCAGATTTTACATATCAGTGAACAATGTCCCATAAAAAAGGAATCGTATTTGAAGCTTTGGAATCATTATTGATCCCTTTTCTCCTTCACCTCCCGTATCCAATTAATCCTAAAATCCTGTGGCTTTTCCTTCAGGGATCTGCCTGCTCCTTTTCATTTCTACTTCTGAGATTTTATTATCTCCTATCTGGGCTAACATGTACTTTCTAATTCTATCTCACTATTTTCTTTTAAACTTTATTTATTTTTAGTTGAAAGTTAGAGTTACAAAGAGGAAGCTCTTCCATCCGTTGGTTCATTCCACAAATGGTAGCAGTAATGGCCAGAGCTAAACCAGGCCAAAGTTAGGAGTCAGGAGCTTCAGCTGCAGCTCTCACGTGGGTGGTAGGGGCCCAAGAACTTGAGCCATCTTCTGGTGCTTTCCCCAGGCCATTAGCAGGGAGCTGGATCATCCCATATGTGGATGTTGGCATTGCAGGAAGAGGCTATACTTGCTATTCCATGACGCTGGGCTCTATCTTATTATTCTTGAATTGCATTTTAACTCTATTACCAGAAGTTTTTTTTTTTTCAAAATAAAATTCTCATCCAGTCATTTGCCTGCTTAAATTAAAAAAAATTGAATGCTCCTGTAGTAAACATCTCAACCCTTAACATGATCTAGCACAGCACCTGTCTTAGTGAATGTTTGTGGAAGAATGAATAACCTTATCTGGTTTGAAGAATTTGTTATTAGAATAGTATTGATACACTGAAGTACCTGTGTGCATATCTTTCTTTACTCTTGTTAATATTTCTGTTGGATCTATTTACAGAAGTGGGGTTGCTAGTATAGGTTGATTTTCTTCTATTAAATATCAAGGTTGATGGAGAGGTGGTGTAGTGCTTTGTAGCCATCAAGAGAAGAAAAGGCATAAAAAAAGAGGAGCCTGACCTAAGAAAAGCACTAATGATTATTCAGAGTGGCATCCTATACATTCTGGCTGATGGAAGGAAATTATATCCCAACAAATCACCCAATAACTTAAATTTTTTTCATTTTGAGATTTTATGCTAAGAAACTTTAGGTTAAATATTTTATAAGACAGAGCAAGGTGCAAATGAATCAAAGTTTTATATTCTCAACAAATGTGATTTACTACTATAAACCACTTAGACATTGATTTTCCTTATAGGTTTTTCTTAATATTTTACAAATAGTATAATGAAATACACGATGTTAAATGGAGTGTTCACATAAGAATTATTAATAAAACATTGTATATTTATATTTTTCATAGAAATCAAGGTGTACTTAATAATGTCTTATACCATTCAGGGTGCTGTAACAAAATACTATATACTGAGTGACTTTTATTTTGTATTTATGTAATTTATTTATTTTCATAATAAATGAGAGGGAAAAGAGAAGGAGAAAGGAGAGAGAGAGAGAAAGAGAGAAAGAGAGAGAGAGATCAATCTGCTATTTGCTGGTTCATTCCCCAAATACCCATATTAGCCAGGACAGGGCTAGGAATCTGGAACTCAGTCTGAGTTTCCTGCATGGATGGAAGGGACCCAAGCACTTCAGCCATCATGTGCTGCATCCCTGGCTGCACGTTAGCAGGAAGTTGGATAGGAAGTGGAGTAACTAAGACTCAAACCATGCACTTTAATATGGGACGTGGTGTCCCAAGTGGGACTTAACCATTGTGCCACATGGGTAGTTTTTTTTTTTTTTGAGAGTTTATTTATTATTTCACAGGTAGAGTTACAGACAGTGAGAGAGAGAGAGAGACAGACAGACAGACAGACAGACAGAAAGGTCCTCGCTCCGTTGGTTCACTCTCCAAGTGGCCACAGTGGCCAGAGCTGCGCCGACCCAAAGCCAGGAGCCAGGTGCTTCTTCCCAGTCTTCCATGCGGTTGCAGGGACCCAAGCACTTGGGCCATTCTCCACTACCTTCCCAGGCCACAGCAGAGAGCTGGACTGGAAGATGAGCAACTGGGACTAGAACCAGAGCCCATATGGGATGTCGGCGCCACAGGCCAAGGATTTACCTAGTGCACCATGGCTCCAGCCCCATGGGTAGTTTTTAAACTATAGAAATTTATTGCTTACAGTTGTGGAGACTGTAAAGTACAAGACCATGGCACCAGTAGATTCATTTTCTGGTGAGAGCTGTCTTTCTGGCTCATAGACGACATCTGTTGCTGTGTCCTCACATACTGGGAGGGAGCAAGGAGTCTCTTGGGCCTTTTACAAGGTAGTTAATACCATGTATGCAAGTTCTGCAACCATGACCAAGTCTGCTCTCACAGACTGTACCTCGGAATATAATCACCTTCAGAGTTAGGATTTCAACATATGAAATTTGGGGTGACACAGCAATTCAGAACATAGCCTCTAGCATAGTTGATATTGGGCAAAATTGTGGACAAGTGCTATTTTCAGAAATGTATTCTGTCTCTCAGTCCTTTGCTCCATGGTCCTGGAATGAAGAAAGCATGTTCTGATACATGTGATATGGGCAGAAAAGTAGCTTAAAGATACTAGGTGTCCTGGGACTAGGGGAATCTGGTTACTACTAGCTTAGCCTCAATGAGTTCTGTGACCATCAGCAAGCTGTTTCATCTCTGTGAGACTGAGTTTCCTCATGTGAGAATAATGGTAACCACTCTTACTTGCAGACCTCACTGGATATGATCATTTGTTTGATCACTTATCAATACATTTCTTTATATTTAAGCATTTATTGTTTGAGCAGATACTAAAACACTGTAGTCATGGTATTAGTCATAAATTTGTGTCTTTAGGAGATGAAAGTATTACATACAGGGGCATTATCGGTTTAAAAAAAACCTTTTCAACAGCTCATCAGGCTGTAAAGTGATTCTCAGTACTGAGAGAACCATGAAGTTCTGAAAGAGTTAATGTGCCTACAGGACCCTGTGATTTTTCTAAGTAACCCTTTACCAGTCCCTCCTGTTCCCTCTTTCGCAATGGTCTATTTTTGTCCCTGCTGAAATGTGACAATTAAGCAAGTTTATATTTGTTTTATTTTACTATTTATTTTACATCAGCCACTTAGAGGCTGTTTAAGCAAAACACCAATTTAATTGCTTTGTTTTTCATTTCTTCTTGTTCTAGGCAATGGGCCTCACCATGATCGTTGCTGTACTTATAATGAAAACAACTTGGTGGATGGTGTTTATTGTCTCCCAATAGGACATTGGATTGAGGCCACTGGGCACACCAATGAGATGAAGCACACCACAGACTTCTATTTTAACATCGCCGGCCACCAAGCCATGCATTATTCAAGGTAAAAACTGTGCCATGTTTATAAGCATAGAAGTAGGACAAGAGGTAGTATTAGGGCGATAGAAGTATTTACTGTGTTGAGAACTGCTGTGTCTCTTTTTTGAGGGGCCCACATAGGCCTGCAATGCTTTGAGGAGTTGAATTACAATGACTCGATGTGTTAGCTTTCCTGGTGCTAGTAGGGAAAGATTCTTTTTTATAGAATTCTTTTATTAAGCATATACTCTGGCATCAATCTATTTTGTTTTTTTTTTTCTTTTGTTTATATTTATTTACTTGCATGCATTTCATAAATACAACTTTAGGAACGTAGTAGTTCTTCCCACCATACCTGCCCTTCCACTCAGCTCTCACCCTTCTTGCTCCTTCCTCTTCTATTCCTAGTCCCATTTGTTGCTAAGACCTGTTGTCAATTATCTTTACACACAGAAGATTAACTCTATTCTAGGTAAAGAGTTCAACACTTTGTATCAGAAAGTAAAAGAAAAGAAAGAAAAATAACAAAATTGTTCCTCAACAGTCCAGACAAGGGCTGCTCAAAGTCATTGCTTCTTTTTGTTTGTTTGTTTTTTGTTTGTTTGTTTGACAGGCAGAGTGGACAATGAGAGAGAGAGACAGAGAGAAAGGTCTTCTTTTGCAGTTGGGTCACGCCCAAATGGCCGCTGCAGCCAGAATACTGTTGCTGGCGCGCCGCGCTGGTCCGAAGCCAGGAGCCAGGTGTTTCTTCTTGGTCTCACATGTGGGTGCAGGGCCCAAGGACTTGTGCCATCTTCCACTGCACTCCCGGGCCACAGCAGAGAGCTGTACTGGAAGAGAAGCAACCGGGACAGAATCTGGCGCCCCGACTGGGACTAGAACCCGGGGTGCTGGCACTGCAGGCAGAGGATTAGCCTATTGAGCTGTGGCGCTGGCCTGTCATTGCATCTTAAAGTTAATTTTGCTTTTTATTTGAAGCATTCTTCTGGTCTATTAGTTATTGCAGGTCAGGGAGAACATATGTTATTTGTCCCTCCAGTATGATGTTTTCCAGTTTCATCCATTTTGTTGCAAATGACAGATTTTGTTCATTTTTATTGCTGTGTAATATTCCATGGTGTACATTTCCCATAATTTCATTATCCAGTCTAAAGTTGACAGACATTTGGGTTGATCCCATGTTTTGCTATTGTGAATTGAGCTGCAATAAACATATGCTGATTTCATTTCCCTTGGATAAATTCCCAAGAGTGAGATGGCCGTATTATATGCCATATAAATATATATATATATATATGTTGTGTATATATATATATATGTTGTATTATATATGTTGTATTGTCATCTTCATTTGTTTCCAGAAATATTTTGATTTTTTCACTGACCCCACTGTTCATTCAGAAGCATATTTTTCAGTCTTTATGTGTTTGCATATATTCTAGTGATTCCTGAGTTTTTGATTACCAACTTCATTCCATTATGGTCAGAGAAGATGCATGGAATGATTTCAATTTTTTGAATAGGCTGAGACTTGCTTTATGGCATAGCATGTGGTCAATCCTAGAGAAAGTTCCATGCACTGCTGATAAGAATGTGCATTCCACACCTGCAGGATGGAAAGTTCTGTAGATATCTATTAAGTCCATTTGGTCTATAGTGTCGATTAAATCTGCTGTTTCTTTGCTGATTTTCTGTCTAGTTGATCTGTCCATTGCTGAAAGTGGGATATTGAAGTCCCTCATTGTGGGGAGCAACTGGGAGCAACTCGGACTAGACTAAGTTACTGGAATTAAGACTTATTCTATGCATCTGCTCTCCCACAATATGGCGCTGGGAGAGGAGGAAACAGCTTCTACACAGCTGCCTCCAGTTCAACCAATAAACTGTAGGACCTGCTCCTGATTGGAGGAGAGCAGCGTACTCGGCGTGTGGGTAGCAGAGTTGGGATTGGTGGAAGAGGACTATAAAGGAGGAGAGAGACAACATGCACCAGGAACATCTATCTGAAGGAACACCTGTGCAGCCCCCGAGAGAGCCAGCCGGCGGTGTGCCGCTCCCCCGCGGAAGTGGGGAAAGTGGCAGGGGGAACCGCCCTTCCATGGAGGTGGAAGGGACGGTAGCCAACCCGGGAAGAACCAGCAGCAAACCTGGGGAGGGCCGAGCAGACAAAAGAACAGCGCAGGGTCCTGTGTCGTTCCTCCACGAAGAGGGGGAGCAACACCTCATTACTATTGTATTCAATATGTCTCCCATTAAATACAATGACTTTTCTTTTAAACAGCCAGGTACCCTGTAATTAGGTGCATATATATTTATAGTAGTCAAATCTTCCTTTTGAATTGATCCCTTAATCATTACATAGTGCCCTTCTTTGCCTCTTGTAACAGTTTTTGTGTTAAAGTCTATTTCATCTGATATTAAGATGGCTATACCAGCTCTTTTTTGGTTTCTGTTGGTATGGATTATTTTTTACCATCCTTTCACTTACAGTATGCATGAGTCTTTGTTGGTGAGATGTGTTTCTTGTAGGCAGTGAACAGAAGGGTTTTCTTTTTTAATCCATTCATCCAGTCTATATCTTTCAACTGGAGAGTTGAGGCCATTTACATTCAAGGTGACTATAGCTAAGTAATGACTTTGCCCTGCCATTTTTCCATAGATATTCCTATTTTTTACATTGTATTTACTTTTTTTTTTGACAGGCAGAGTGGACAGTGAGAGAGAGAGACAGAGAGAAAGGTCTTCCTTTGCCGTTGGTTCATCCTCCAATGGCCGCTGCGGTCAGCGTGCTGCGGCCGGCGCACCGCGCTGATCCGATGGCAGGAGCCAGGTGCTTCTCCTCATCTCCCATGGGGTGCAGGGCCCAAGGACTTGGACCATCCTCCACTGCACTCCCTGGCCACAGCAGAGAGCTGACCTGGAAGAGGGGCAATCGGGACAGAATCCGGTGCCCCGACCGGGACTAGAACCTGGTGTGCCAGCACCGCAAGGCAGAGGATTAGCCTAGTGAGCCGCAGCACTGGCCTGTTTTTACTTTGTACTTTCAGTAGGAGATTTTCTGCCTTCACCTTCTTTTGTAGTGATGACCCTGTTTCTGCATTTCTGTATGTAGCACATCCTTAAGCATCTTTCGTAAGGCTAGATAGTTGGTGACAAATTCTTTCAATTTCTGTTTGCTATGGAAGGTCTTTATTTCACCTTCATTCATAAATGAGAGCTTTGCTGGGTACAATATTCTGGGTTGACAGTTTTTATCCCTTAAGACTTGAAATAAATCTTGCCATTCTTTCCTAGCCTGTAGGGTTACTTATGAGAAGTGCACTGTGAGTCTAATTGAAGTTCCTCTGAAAGTGATCTGCCATTTCTCTCAAGCACAGTTTAGAATCTTTCTTTGTATTTTACTGTGGAGAATTTGATTACATTGTGAAACAGTGAAGTTCTTTTTTCGTCATGTCTATTGGCAGTTCTTTTTTTTTTTTTTTAAAAGATTTATTTATTTATTTGAAAGAATTACACAGAGAGACAAGGAGAGGCTGTGAGAGGTTTTCCATGTGCTTGTTCACTTTCCAGTTGGCTGCAGTGGTCGGATCTGTGCAGATCCAAAGCCAGGATCCAGAAGCTTCTTCCAGGTCTCCCACATGTGTGCAGGGGCCCACGATTTTGGGCCATCTTCTGCTGTTTTCCTAGGCCATAGCAGAGGGCTGGATCAGAAGTGGAGCAACTGGGGCTTGAACCAGCATCCATATCGGGTGCCAGCACTGCAGACAGTGGCTTTACCCATTATGCCACAGTGCTGGCCCCTTCTGGGAGTTCTGTGTGCTTCCTGTACTTTTGGATGACCCCTTCTTTCTCCAAATTAAGGAAGTTTTCTGTTATTATTTCACTGAAAAGGCCTCCTAATCCTTTCTCTCTTTCTACACCTTCATGGACTCCTAAGACCCGTATGCTGGGTCATTTAATAGTATCCTGTAGCTCTCCAACAGTGTTGTTCAGTTTTCTAATTTCTTCTTCTTGTTTTTGGTTTGACTGTAAAATTTCCAGAGATTTGTCTGCTAGCTAGGATATTCTTTTGTCTGCCTCACCAAGTCTGTTGTTCAGATTTTCCACCGCATTTTTTACTTGATCTATTGAATTCTTCATTTGTAGTAATTGATTTGATTTTTCTTTAAGATCTCAATTTCATAGGAAAAGTTTTCACTTATATATACAGTTTTCTTTTGTTCATAAATTGCTTCTGAGTCATCCAATGATTAGTTTTTAAATTCCGTTTCTGGCATTTCCCCAATCTCTTCATCTTTACCTTCTAATATTGTATTAATATTGAAATGTTTTAGTGTTCCTTTGAGGGACTCATAGTGTCTTCCTTGTTTTATTTCTTGAAATTTAGCCTTTATATTTTGGCATTTGTAGAATTTTTTCTGTGTCTGCTGGCTTTTATCTGTGGTCTGTGTCTTTGTGGTTTAGTGAGACATCTATACTTTCAGTGAATTCCAAGAGGTGTGTCCTGGGTGTGGCTAAGGTGCTCTGTTTATTATTCCAGGATAGAGTGAGTATCCAGCATAAGACCCCAGTTGGGGATGTTAGTTCTTCTCTGGTTAACTGGATGGGGAGAAATGGTCACCTCTGTTGGTGCGACCAGCCCTTCTCACAGCTGTGAGATGCCCTGGTGTAGTCCCCAGTGCACTCAACTCTCATCTACATTGCTTTATGAACTGCACATTTGATCCATGGAGTCTTTCTGGTGAGCACGGTTCCCTCTGCTATGAGCTGCTGTAGGCAACTGAGGAACTTGGAAAGTATGGAGAAGTGCTCTGTGGTTACCCAGGACCTAGCCACGCTCTATCTCCTCTTGTGAAGTCACTGTTTTCTCAGAATCAGCTCCCAGGGTCATGGATTGTCAGTGGGACCATTCCATCCTGCTAGTCAGTCCTATCTATAAGAAAACTAAGGTGTTCCCAGAGCCACTGTCTGAGTGTGGTCTTCCCAGCCAAATTCAGTGTCGGTTGGGAAGATGGATTTTTCTCC